CACTCAAATTTCCACACAAATTCAAGCTTTCTTTCTCTCTTACTTAAAAATTCTTATTGTTCTCAAATTCTGAAGTGTTATATAGAGTTATATTTTTGTTAAAAAAAATCTCCTTAATATTATTATTAGTATTCTTAAGATTCTAAAAAAAAAAAGTTCTTCTCCATATTATAATTAGTAATCATACAAAAAAAAAATGAGCTCAAGAGGAGGAATGGGAAGGAGTCAAAGTGGTGGTCGAAGTGGTAGCCAAAGGAGTGGTGGTGCAAATTTTTCGTATGAAATTAATACGGAAAATTTAAACCAATTTGTCAATGAATATGGAGATTATGGTTTAGGAGATAGGCAAAATATTCAAACGTCTCCACCACAACATTTCTCCCACGAGTCCCACCAATCATCAAGTTCAACTATGCCACCTCCATCGCAACCAACATCTCAACCTTCATCTCAAGGTAATTTCTAATTAAATTTTTATTGTTATGAATATTTAAAAAAACTATTATTAATGATTATAAAGTTAGTTTAGTTTCCAATTTTCTATGATTTACAATTAGTTAATTACCATGAAAAATGCGTTTAAATAAGTATAATTAAAATATTTAAAATTTAAAAGCTTATTTTCATGAATAGCATTTAAAAATTAATTTTAATAATTTGATTTATGAAAGGTGGTGGCGGTGAAAGTAGAGGTCGAGCACATTTTTCTTGGGTGTGGAAACATTTTGAACGAGTTGAGGTCACACCCCCGGGATGGCAACCTGGTCAACCAAAGAGGTTCACGTGTACATGCCTAGTTTGCAAGGCGCTAGGTGCAAATGTCAAGTCATATAATTGGAAAACGGGAGATGGAACCGGAACCTTGAGTCGGCATTTGCAAAATAAACACGACTTGTTCGAAAATGGCCCCCGTCCTTCGGGGGGTGGCGTCCAAACACAATTGGGTGGATACATGAACCAACCCGGCGGAGGTACACCTTTCATTTATAATAAAGATAGAATGATTGATGAAATGAGTACTTTAGTTATTGCTAATGAATACCCTTTTAGTTACGGTGAAAATGCAAACGTTGAGCATTTTAATAAAGTTGCATTACAACCTGCATTTACTCGTGTCCCCCGAAATACCCTAAGACGTTATACACAAACTTCTTATTATAAGTATAGGAGTGGTTTGATTGAATTATTTCGTACTTTTGATGGTCGTGTTAGTTTTACAAGTGATACATGGACTTCTAGTTTTGGCGAACCTTTTCTTTGCATTACTGCTCATTGGGTGGATGATGATTGGTTTATTCAAAAACGTATACTATGTTTTCAAGCTATGGAAGAAAGGCATACCGGTTTTAACATCAAAGTTCGTATTTTGGATTGTTTAAAAGAATTTCACTTGAATAATAAAGTTTTTTCTTTGTCTCTTGATAATGCAACTGCAAACACAAAGTGTATTGACTATTTGAAAAATGACTCCGAGTTGAATTTGTTGTTGGGTGGTAGTCTCTTGCATGTTAGATGTTGTGCTCATATTTTGAATTTGTCTGTTCAAGAGGGTCTCGCTGAGTTGCAACCATTGCTAAACCCAATTAGAACAGTTATAAAATGGATTAGGATTACTCAGTCAGTTAGAAGAAAGTACATAGCTATGTGTAAAGAGAGAGGTCTTAAGAAAAGACAATGGTCTATTGATACCCCTACCCGTTGGAATTCTACTTTCAAGTTGTTGAGTGATGCTATAAAGTATCGTGATATTTTGACCCAACTTTACAATGAGACTCGTGTTGATCCTACTGAGTTAATAACCGAAAGTCATTGGACTAATGCTTCTTTTGTTCGTGATGTTTTAAATGCTTTTGATAGTGCAACTCATATTTTCTCTTATATTTATGAGCCTAACGTTCATTTAGTCATAATTGAGTGTGTTAAAGTTGTTCACACCATCGAAGAGCATATGAAGATTGATGGACTTCGTCCCGTTCTTGATAGCATGAAACGTAAGTGGAATACTTATTTTAGTGAATTTCCAATCATTTATGGAATTGCTGCTATTCTTGACCCCGGTGTCAAAGCTGAAGGTTTGGAAAATCTTTTAGAATTTTATTATACAAGTTTAAGTATCAATTATGATGTTAGTGAATATATTAACAAATGCAAATCTGTTTTGGGAGACCTTTATGATCATTATGCATCTATTTATGGTTTTGATCTGGCAACACCAACTACTACTAGCACTTCCGATTCTAGATTTGGTTTTCTTGATAAAGTTATGAAAAAAAAAAACACAAAGCATCTACATCATTCTCATCATCATCTTCTTCAACACTTGCTATTAATGATTATTTGTCATATCAACATGAGACCAACAACAACTTTCAAATTATAAAATGGTGGCAAGAACATAAAAAAAGTTTTCCTATATTGGCGAGAATTGCAAAAGATATACTTGCAGTTCCCGCTTCATCTGTTGCTTCCGAGTCTGCTTTTAGTGCAGGTAGAAGAGTGTTAGATGAAAAAAGATCTCGCTTAACTCCGGAAAGCATTCAAATTTGTGTTTGTAAGAAAGATTGGGATCAAGCTGAAAGAAGAACTCAAGGTTTAAAGGAAGACGAAGACGATGAAGATGATCCTGTGATGATATTGGAGTCGTCAACGGATGATGCAGCTTCCGGGGATGATGATGCAACAAACATGGGTGGCTAGAAAAGTCTAAATCAGGTACGCTAAGAACTACGTGGGCTTTGATTCTTTCGGGATACGTAGGCAACTTATTTTTCGAAAATTACAATTTAATTGCAAAATTAAATTTTAGTTTTCTAAAGATAGGTCCAAGCCCCCCCCCCCAAATTTCAAAAGAAGTACAATATAAGAACTACGCTGGCTTTGATTCCTTATTTTATAATATAAGGATACGTAGGCATCTTAATTAAGAGCAAGCCATCAAATTGTTAATTTTGTAAAAATTAAAACACCACACAACCCACCCGACCCTAACCCACGAACCCACCCGACCCTAACCCACAAACCCATCCGACCCTAACCCACCTAACCCACAAACCCACCCGACCCTAACCCACTAACCCACCCGACCCTAACCCACCTAACCCACAAACCCACCCGACCCTAACCCACTAACCCACCCTTCGACCCACCCTAACTCACTAACCCACCTTGACCCGTCTAACCCACGAACCTAGCTCGACCCACCCATGACCCGTCTAACCCACAAACCCAGCTCGACCCACCCACGATCCGTCTAACCCACAAACCCAGCTCGACCCACCCACGACTCGTCTAACCCACGAACCTAACCCTGGTGTGTCCAACTTCTCCGACCCAACCCACGACCCGGCCCACCCTACCCTACGTGTGTCGTGCCGTGTGTCATGAAACCCCAACCCGCGACCCACCTAACCCTAACCCAGCTCGCACGACTCGCACGGTGGACACCTCTACCTTTGGTAAAGTACTAAAGGTAAGGCGCGTATGCATGTACGATATGGCGTAATAATAGTATAAGCCAATTACGTGCTAATATAATAATGCTAGCTAATACGAGTAAGAACATTAGGAAATGAAGGTAATGTACCGGTAATAAAGTTAACATATGAATTAAACATCATTTATTATACTAATATTAGTTAATCTTGTTTGATATTAAATCTTAATAGTAATACTACTTATATTCCTAAAAGTTAGGCTTAGTATTTATGTAGTTAAAATACAATAACATTGAGCGTATTTTTATAATTTACTTAAAATAATAATTAGCATGTGTGATCCTATGATATTCATCCCAAAAACCTAATTATTAATACTCTAGCTTCATTATGTTGTTTGATCTATTTCAAATTTTTTAACATTATTTTTTTTACTCAATTCTAAATCTTTAACTTATTTTCACTTATTCACAGTTAAAGATGTTAATGGTAAAAAGGTGCATTTGAGACTATGCAAAACCCAAGTGAATGCTAATTTTAGGCAGAGAGGAAGTATATATGAATTTGGTTATTTATTGTTTGTATAAGGGTTTAGGAATTATATATGAAGAGAAGGGGGATTAAGGATAAAAGTGGCTCTTTATCCCTTTATTTTAGTACCTAAAGGGGTGTTCGTTAGGCATTATAGGGAGGGGAAATAAGGATAGGCATAAAAACACTTTCACCTTAGAGCAACTCCAATAGTTGTAACTAGAGAGTTGCTTGCAATTTTTAAAAGTCTCTATCTACTAGCTTGACTATTAGAGCTAAAAAATACAATTAGCTTGGGCAAGCTAATTTGCTTGATAAAAAAGTTTCCAATTTTTTTGGAGATCAATATATTCAAATAATCAAATTAATAAAGCTAATTGAGAAAGTCAAACTTATTTAAATATCAAGCTAGTAGCTAACCATTGGGCACAAAATAGCTACAGAGTATGTTGGCTTGAAATCATATGTGGCATGACAAGCAAATTTAATAATTAGCTTACCATTGGAGATGCTCTAATGAAATTTAAGAACAAAGGGAGGAAAATAAGTTTATTCAATTTTCCAATCTTATTCCCTATTTATTCTAAAAATGAGTAACAAATATTTTATCCCTATCCCTCATATCAATTTCTTATCCTTAATATCCCTACCTCTTATCCATTTTATCCCTATCTCTCTTATCAAACACCTCGTAAAAGTAATGTTTGCATGATATCAATTATTTTTATTACGATATCAAATTATAATGTAAAATTACCTACATCTACAATAACCTAGAAGTAATTAGATTAGGTGGTTAACACAAATCACATGAATCATTCTTTGGTGCTTCCTTTTTGGCATACATGTAAAGATTGTTGGACATAATTTTATAGCTAATTCATTAAATAAATTTCAACCTCATTTCACCAACTTTTTTCTCAACAATAAATTTTTACCTATTACAAAACCCTCTTTTCTCTTAATCAACACAACACAACCCAACCAAAAACTAGCCAAAATCATTCATAATTGTGTACCTTCATTATCAAGAAAATGATCAAATCAGATAATTCTATACCCACAATTTTATCATCATTATCTTCAAATTATTATGATAATAGTGGTTATTATAATATAGGATCCATGATATTGGTAGCATTTTGCATGGGGTTGTCATGGATAATAGTCCATAGGTGGGGCCAAAGGAACAAGGTGGGACCCAAGACATGGCCATTGATTGGAGCAGCACTTGAACAATTGATGAATTATGATAATATGCATGATTGGCTCGTTGAATATCTTTCTAAGTCTAAAACTGTTGTGGTTCCAATGCCCTTTACTACTTACACTTATATTGCTGATCCTGCTAATGTTGAGCATGTTCTTAAGACCAATTTTCCTAATTATCCTAAGGTACATACTTATTTATGTACTACTTTTGCTTAATCATCTTTATATTACACTTTATTGACTTTCGAAATCCTGCTAATTAATTAATCAACTTCTGTTGATAGGCTTATAGTTGCCTGAAAAGTATTAGCTTAATATAAGAAGTTTAATGTAGAAAAAATTGGGTATTATTATATTTTATGATATAATATTGATTGAAATATGACTTTGCCATAGGTTTTGATGCACATCCATTAGAGATATGCATAACATAAATTTGTAAATCATTGAACATAGAAAAAACTCTCTATCTGATTTGGGTTGATTGAGAGTCAGTTATATAGTAATATTTAAAAGGATGTATCTGCTAATTTGAAGCTCTATAGAAGAAATATACTATTTTAGAAAATAAACAATATAGGTTGTATTGTATAGTATTTGACAATCTAGTAAAAATTCGAATAAATTCCAAAGATTATGAAGGTACGTAGTCGGTCTAGTGGGATTTTATGCTTATTATATGCACCATTACGGTCTTTGGGAATGAAAAATCTCTTATTCTTTTCTCTACACCTCTTAAAACATGACAATTTATCTACATGACTACATGCATGTAGTTGTTAGGACTCTTGTGAGGGACTAACTCGAAAGGGACTTATATTTTATGTCTTTAATATCATAACTTAAAGATCTAAATGCTTATTTGCCAATTACCCATTGAATTTAACATTTATTATTAGAGCTAATCACCTATAAGCCTCAACGTAATGTTATATTATTAGTCCAGCACTAAATTGGTAAAGTCCATAAAAATACTGTTCAAAACAAAAGACCCCTCGAAATTCTTGACACACATGAGCTCAGCCATGTTATATTTAAACCCAGCCCAATAGTAATGATATCCATGGCCCAATTAAACATACAGTGCTAAATAAAGGGATCCTTATTAATTATGGAGTACTTAATTAGAAATTGAGACACCCTAATACTAAAACTGATTAATTTGTTGTTACTTCGTATAAGCTTATAAACATTCGATTTGCCAAAGTCGATACCGAACCAGGACAAATAACCAACATTTCTTTTCTATTATGACTTGAATTCTATAGAATTCGATATGAACAACTTGTTTGCCACCCCACATCAACATAGATAATGTTATGTATAGAAAGTACGCGTACAAGCTTCTTAGAGCGTACTTGTTTTATTACAACAATAAACATTGTTTTAGCTAATGACTGACTGAGTAAACTTTAGATTTCATAGATATTTCTGTCTTAATAAAATACCTGATAAGCTAGATTTCATTAACATATATTCTTCTGATTCAAGTACAGGCTAAGACCTCCCGTCAAAAAAAAAAAAAAAAAAAAAAAGTACAGGCTAAGATCTGTTACATTGAATAGATTTAAATTAAAATGTGCAATCTCACTATTAATATTTTTTTTTTCTGAACAAAATGACTAATTCTAATTTTAATTTTTGTATCAAGGGTGAAGTCTACCAATCGTACATGGAAGTTTTGCTAGGAAACGGAATTTTTAATGCAGACGGTGAAAGTTGGAGGAAACAGAGAAAAACTGCAAGCTTTGAATTTGCATCTAAGAACTTAAGAGATTTTAGTACTGTGGTCTTCAGAGAGTATAGCTTGAAGCTTCTTAACATTTTGAGCCAGGCATCATTCGAGCATCGATCCGTCGACATGCAGGTAATTAACTCCCTACATTATTGATCAAAACTAACTACATTATGTTACATAAGAATTAATGTCTAGGTCCGATTTCAAGGTACACACTTTGATCATATTAGAGGAATTTTTAAGGGCGTTTTGAGGATACCTTTAAGAAACATTTTTCGGATATTTGAAGATAATAATGATTACATTTGATGTACCTGTTATTTTTTTCGGTCTTAAAAGTAATACGAGCATGTTCATAAAACTAAAACTAAATTTCCTTTGATGCTTTTAGGAATTGTTGATGAGGATGACATTGGACTCAATATGTAAGGTAGGTTTCGGTGTAGAAATTGGAACATTGGCACCTGATCTGCCAGAGAACGCGTTTGCTCGTGCTTTCGATACAGCTAACATCATTGTCACACTAAGATTTATTGATCCTCTTTGGAAGCTAAAGAAATTTTTCAATGTGGGATCAGAGGCTTTACTGAGTGAAAGTATTACAATCATTGATGATTTTACATATTCTGTAATCCGGAGACGAAAAGCTGAAATTGAAGAAGCTAAAAGAAGTTCCAACAACATCAAGGTGATTTCTTGCATCATAGATTAGTTTTTAGTCTTCTCACATTGTCTTAGCAGTTCATAATTAACACGACTTTAAATTACGTGTTTAGACCAATTTTCCTTACCAAAAACTTAAAATTATGTGTGGTTAAACACTTCAGATGAAACATGACATACTATCAAGGTTCATAGAGTTGGGAGAGGATCCAGAGTACAACGCAACAGAGAAGAGCCTAAGAGACATAGTGCTAAATTTCGTGATCGCAGGGCGAGACACCACAGCAACAACACTGTCATGGGCAATATACATGATAATGACCCATGAAAGTGTTGCTGAAAAGCTTTACTTAGAGCTAAAATCAATTGAAGAAGAACGAGCAAAGGAAGAAAATGTTGACTTAATTGAGTGTGATACAGAGGACCCTGTATCTTTTAACAAAAGGGTGTCACAATTTGCTGATCTTTTAACCTATGATTCTTTGGCTAAGCTGTACTACTTACATTCTGTTGTCACTGAAACTCTTAGGCTCTACCCTGCAGTTCCTCAAGTAAGTGATTATAATATAGATTTCCTTATCTTCGGTTTTGTTTCTTATTCAAAATGCTAGATTCGCCACTGGTCATAACTGTTTAAAATTTATTAAAATGGTGTAATTTGTAGGATCCAAAGGGGATATTGGAGGATGATGTACTACCAGATGGAACCAAAGTAAAAGCAGGGGGTATGGTGACTTACGTACCATATTCTATGGGTAGAATGGAGTACAATTGGGGTCCTGATGCTGCTGATTTCAAGCCTGAAAGGTGGCTTAAAGATGGTTTATTCCAAAATGCCTCTCCTTTTAAATTCACTGCTTTTCAGGTATATTCCATTTTAGCAAATAACCTCCAAACAAATTTTAAATTAGTATTAGCTTTAAAATAGGTTAAATTTGCTAGGAAGATATAGACATCCAACTATACCATATGATATTTGGTAACATGGCCTTTATAAATACGTAAATTATTTGTTAAGAGTAATAACAATATAGAAATATGAGAGAAAAGATGGGATACAAATGTGAATATACCCATCATATTACACGCCAATCGGTAGCTTTATTTGGGTACTATTGTACTATACTAGCAGTAGGCCTGGTTATTGGGCGGGTTATTTGCGGGTCAAGGGAAATGTTATACGAGTCAGGGTCGGGTCAGGGCTATGTGCAAAATAAGATGGGTCATTAATGGGCCTAGGTTATTCTCCAAAACCCCTCCCCCACCTTTTCTCCTTCTCTCTCTCTCCTCCCTCTCACACACTCAAACTCAAACTCACAATTTCCAGAAAAATCCCCATTTTCGATCTCTTCTTTGACCTTAATAATGCAGTCTCCCTCTCTTTTCCATCATCAAATCACACCTTCGATTTCCCCTCATTTTCAGCTACACCTCTCAACCTCAATCTCAGAGCTTATTAACCAATGCCTCCCTTTTCTTAGAACCCAGAAACGAATCAGCCTTAGAAATTTCAACCAAATTCTTCAATTCAGACAACGACAATTGTCTCTGCTTCTGCAAAATCACAAGCATTCAGTCAATTCTAAAGCCCTAAGAAAATCCTAATTATCAAAATTTGGTGAAATTGAAGGGTGATAGAAACCTGAGCAATAATATCTTCTAACAAGCGAACATCAGACCTCCAACGCTGGTACTGAAGTTGGATGCGTTCTTGTAAAATTCGGCGTTCTTCGATGAGAGAATCCATTTGAGAAGCTTGTTTTCGAAGCATTTGTTTTAGGGCATTGAAGATAATTTCCCATTTTTGGTGATCTGGAGAAGGGTTAGATTGCTTCTTCTGATTTCTTGTTGAAACCATAATTATTACTTTCGATTATTTTAGTATTAATTTTTAGGAGAGAGTATTTGAAGATGATGAAAGAAACCCAGAAAAGAAAGAGAAGAAAGAGATGAGGTGAGAGATGCAGAATTGATGACAGATAAGAAGTGGTGGGTGGGGCTGACCTTTAACTATGATGAATATTCGGCTTTTTATTTTAATTTTTAAATTATTGGATTCAATTGAAATCCTATAAAAGATCTATAATATAAAATAAGACCTTATAAAAGCTCTGTCCACTAAAAAAAATTAAAGGGTTAAAACCCTTTAGTATTAGGCCCGATCCTTTTGTCATTGGGTAGCCCTACCCAATAACTAGGCATAACTAGAAGCTAGCTCACTCGAGTGCACAATGTTCATCACGAACTAAGGCAATATGAAGATGGCAATTGTATTAAATTTAGTTTTTATGTTTACGTATTCTTAATCACAATTAAAAATAAGTGGATGATTTGTGTTAATTAATCGAACAAGTTTAAATCTCGCAGGCTGGACCAAGAATATGTCTAGGGAAGGACTCAGCATATTTACAGATGAAGATGGCGTTAGCTATTCTGTGTAGATTTTACAAATTCAAGCTGGTACAAGGGCATCCTGTCAAATATAGAATGATGACTATTCTCTCAATGGCTCATGGAATGAAGCTTACGGTCTCTAGATGTTCTTAACTAGCTAGTTACTATTTGCAAGATTATTGTTAATTTATCATAAATATGTACGTGTAGTGATATATATGATTTGGATCTTGTAAATTTATATACAGTTCATGTTATTTTTTTTCTTTGTTTTTATTTTATGCCATAGTACATGATAACCAAGAAAATTTTTATATGCACCTAGATGCACCCAAAGTTAAGTACGTCCAAGAGTATTTTTCTGTTTGTTCGAGGAGTTGAAGATTTTTAGTTTTAATAAACTCTTTTTTTTAATTGACATATATTCCCTTTTATTGGAATTTTTTTTAAGTGTTGACATTTTCTTTTTAAAATAAGTTTCATATTGTTAGATGACAATTATATATACCCTCCTTTCTCCTCCTATAATACTGAAAACTAGTTTAGAATTCATGTCACGTACGGTAAGTCCAAAGACTATTTACATTATTTGTAAATTATATATATCACATAAAATTTGATAAATATGTATCAAACTAATAGAATAAAATCTCCTAGAGATAATTTAATTTGAAAATAACACAAAATGTACTAGATAAACTCATTAAATAGATTAAAAAGATAAATAAAGTAGATGGTGAATTAAAGGAGGTTAATCCCCTACCTATATTACAATTATTTTTCATTCATCAAATTCATTATATGGAGTATCTAAGTAAAAATATATTGAGTATCTAATCAACCAATCAAAGCCTTAATCTCAAAAGTAGGGTCGCCTACAAAAACCAAATTTGACTATTTCGTGTAGTCATCTTCAAAAATCTTCCTCCTCCATTGATCCCTTACGATCCAATGCTTCATCCTCATGCAAATCTATATAATTCATATCCTTCCTAACTCCTTCCATCCAAGTTAAAAAAAAAAAAAAAAAAAATATCCTCTATACTGTGGATTAAATGATTAATATCAAAACCTAAATAAAAACCTATCCTCTGAGATCTGAACAGTTCTTGAGCAATTCCAACCTTTGAGTTTGGGTACACGGATTACGGAGGTCGTTGTATAAAACTTGGGAGACGTGCGTCACTGGGAGATGTGTACCGCTGGTGGCGTGTTTCGTTCTAAGGCAGTGAGTTCCAAACCACAGCACAACCGAAAGAGGACATATCTTTGATTTTGAGTACGGCGAACTTGCACTAGGGAAGATTTTAATTTGGCTAGTGTTTTTCATGGAATCAACAGGTATTTTTGCAAAAATAATATGTATAAAAAATAAGAACAAGATCAACAATCAAGGTGTTGTAGTGTAATTTATTGTACGCTAAAATAACGAGGAGACAAGATAAGAAAAGGCAATAAAGGAAAACAAAAAGACGGATTCAATAAAAAAAAAAGTAAAAAAGATTACAAAGTTGCAAGCAGCACACTTAGATTGATAACAACACACAAGAACAAAAAGCAAATTAAGGCAGTAACGACTAAGGGTATGGTGCATACATATAGTTTTAATTAAAAATAATACAGAAAAGGTGTAATAGCTCCATCAATGGCCCTTAGTTGTTGATAAGATGAGATTACTTGATTTTAACAACATCGAATACAGAAGTGGCCACAGAAGTATATCCAGGCTTAATGCTGGAAGACGCCTCAGCTCCAGTTTTGACGTTATCAATGGCATGACTTGTATGGCCGGGAGCTTTCAGAAGGTTTTCTTTGATAGTGTCCCATCTATCTATGTTATCTTTAGGATAATCTTCAGCGGGCCCAACTTCCACGTAAGTCTGAAAACAGAAAAAATGATACCAATTCAATGTTTACGTATGTAATACTACATATATATTGATAAAAGCAAACCAGGCCATACAATAGATAGCTAAGACATTTACCTTGTTTGCGTTTCCATTGCCCGGTGTGTACCATGCAAAGACCCATGCACATTCAGTCGACCCACCCTTTTTACGAGGTCCAACATAAACTACAGCCCCCATTGAACCATCATCACCTTGATGCGTAAACTTGGCAGATGTGCTCGCCTTAATTTGAGGAGGGTACTCGCCCAAAACACTACCAGACCAATCTTTCGGCTCCTGGAATTCAATGGTATCCTCACCAAAATTCATGATAGAACATTTTGTAGTTGCCAGACCACCACTATTAGTTGCCAGACCAATCTTTCGGCTCCTGGAATTCAATGGTATCCTGCCTCTACCTCTTTTTCCATCTCAGCTATAGCCTTTAAGTGTGTTTCATTCATCTTTGTTGATGATCCCATTTTTCTTATTATTAGATTTTAGCCTGCAAAATTCAGGCAAACCACCACAAAGTTAATAATAATAATAATAATAATAATAATAATAATAATAATAATAATAATAATAATAATAATAATAATAATAATTATTATTATTATTATTATTATTATGAGAAGCTAAAGTACCTTACTTTTGTAATTCAAGCTAATTTATCAACTTTAATTTGATTTGATTGTTGGATTGATGAAGAATGCTTCTGCACTCCATTCTTATTTATAGCCTTAAATTTTAAGCCTTGGATTAGGGAACTTACTATTCTATTCATTAAATGACTAAATGTCATAACGTGCTAATGATGGCCGGTGCATTGCCAGCTCTATTAAACTAATTAAATATGTTGTTGTTATTATTACTATCATCATCGAAAACTTATAAAGTTAATCAATTTACAAGAAATTAGTGGGGAGCCGAGATACAATCTGGGCCTCCACCCCTCTAGCGAACTTGATCCTGCTGAAGATGTGAGCAGCTGCATGAGCACCAATATCCCGAGTCCTAGCAAACACCTGAACCTGCTTCAACAACGCAACAACATCCTTATCTAATTCCCCCAACGAAGAAAAGGAGAAAGGAAGAAAACAATAGCCGATTGCCTTGCAACGCGCTCCATACTTGTCCCGCTTTCGCTGAGCTGCAGTCGACACAACATGACCCGGAACAAAGTCAGACAAACCAGACTGTGTTAAAGGAGAAGACCCCGTCAGTCAAACACATACATCAAGGCATCTGTCCCAGGAATAAAACAACACATCTGCAAGTTGAAGAGTCTCATTGTTCCCTCTGCTCAACCCAACATTAACCTTCTTCTTGCAGAAATCCCAGAACGAAAACAAATATCAACAAGGGTGTCACGAACAACGTCGTATAACCTATAAAAAATTAGTGGAAAGCCATAATACAATTTATTATTATTATAATTATTATTGTTATTATTATTATTATTATTATTATTATTATCTCTCAAAAATTGACAAAGCTATACAACCTATAAAAAATTAGTGGAAATCTGAAATACAATTTATTATTATTATTATTATTATTATTATTATTGATAATTAAGCTTATGAAGTACCGTATAAAAGTATATTGATGGAATGATGGGGACATGGTAGTTTCAAAACATTAACCTATTATTTTTAATTGACTTTTTAGAATAACTTGAAAAAGTCTGTGGTTTTTTTTTTACTTTCAATTTTAACAATGACGTGTGCATAATTTGTACTCCGCGATATGATATAAAATGTTCATTCCAATTAAATATACATTTCGTGCCAAATGCCAATTGTCGTCTCTTTAATTATGTAAAGGTTGAATAACCAAATATTGTTATTCATACCCGTTTAAAAATAAATAAATAAATAAATTGTTATTCATGAGTGTTCACCAGATTACCAATTAATAAGAAGTACTCAGCTACTGGAAATTTAGTTTTTTTTTACTACTACGTATATAGCATTGTGCTTTTTCTTTTACCTTTTTTTTTGACAAGAAGAAAAAGGATTTCTATTTCGGGGTTTTTTATGTGTCCTACGGGAGAGTTACAACACCGAGAATGCGCGTCCGGCTGTCTGCACCTAAAAAACCACGAAACTCCGGTTGGGTGGAGTTCCGCCTCCGACGATCAAATTAGAACGCGTACGAAGAGTATAATGCGGAATGTAAAAGGTTTTTTTTCTCTGATTCAGAGAGAATTCTGCAATTCAATTGCTCGGTTTGTGTGTTTGGAAATTTCTGAATGCCCAATAAATGAGGATTTTCCTCTATTTATAGGGCAAGGGGATCAGTTCCCCTCTTTAAGGGTTTGGTGCCACGTGTCAGCCAGGGATTGGATCCCATTGGGCCCTTCTGAGGCTGACACGTGTCAGCTTATGATTGGAACACGTGGCTAGGGTAATTTTTACCCTAAACATTTGCCCCTCACAAATGACACGTGGCTTGCCACGTGGCATCTGTGACATGGCATGCCACGTAGCCCTCTTGTGACAGATGTCGTATTCTGGGAAGGTGACGGTTGGTCTCCTTCCCTCCATTTTTATTATTATTATTTTTTATTATTTTTTTTTATGAATTCAAATTTTGAATTTGAAACTAAGGAGCATGACGGTTCGTCTCCCCTAATTCCTCTATAAAAGGGCCTTTCCCAATCATTTGCAACATTTATTGCAAACTTCCAACTCTTCTGAGAGAAAAGAGCTCTGACCCCGGCTGCCTTATTCACAACCTTTCTTCTTTTTTATACCCATCCAGACTAATGTCTGGGTTGCCTTTGATCAATTTGCTCCAAAAACGTCTGAGTCAGCCGTTTTTCTTCATTTGCATTCACAACACCCCCATTCGGTCTGCACGTTTGAGATACCTTGGAACCATTTCTTCAGAAACCGCCTGCACATCTGGTTTTTAGCTTTAGCTCTTAAAGCCCCCCCATCCGGCATCCACCACTTGGGGTATCTTCGATCCACATTCTTGAAAATCGTCTGCCTAGCCGGTTTTTTCCCTTAGCTCTCAAAACACCCCCACCCGGTTTTAACCGTTTGGGGTATCTTTGGGCAACGTTTTTTAGAAACGGTTGAGAGCCCTTTACAACATTGGAACTTTGTTTGAAGAGGACACATCCGGATTCCGCCTGGGCTATCTCCAAGCAACAACTTGGAAAATCGGCTGGTTGCTTCACAGAGTTCACTTTCCAGATTTCTCCAACTTCTAAAGGTACCGCCTCTGTCCCTTTCAACTCTTGCTCTCATTTCCGGTAGTATAGGTTGTTAGTGATAAATGGACTCACCCAACACACACACGGCACGGCCTAGGACAGTTGCCAACCGGTCACCGGATACGGCTGAGTCTAGGACTGGGGATGCCGTCTGGGGGTGTTTGGATCGACCACCCTTACTGTTAATCCAACTGTCTCTGTTCATGTGCAGGACAGAATGGCTCTGACAAGACGGACGACCGTTGATCCCGACTACCAGTCCGAAGGCTCAGCCAAAACTCCGGCTGAGGATGTCCCCTTTGATCAGCCGGGCGTTCCTAGTACACCCGGAGATTAAATTCTAGAAGAGTCCTGCTCAAGCGGTGAAGAGACCGTTCAAAAATCCGGCTCCTCTCGTTCTGAATCATCCGGGGAGCCGGATGCCCCTGAAGAGGACAAAGAGGCCTACAACTGGCCTACAATAAACAACCCAACCGAGGCTTCTATGAGTGCCCGGGACATAGTGACCTTGAATGCCACGCTGCCGACATTTTTGGAGAAAAAAACCGGTTGGGGAAGGTTGGGAAGTTTTGGTGCCGCCTGGCGATGCAACTGTCGTTTGGGAAGACGACATCAACCATGCCGAAAATTACTTGGGCTGCTATGAGGCGGCCTTCAAAGCCGGGTTCTGATTCCCCCTCCATAGAACAATCAAGGCCATACTAAGGGGGTATGACCTTGGAGTCTGGCAGTTAACACCCAACTCTTGGGTGAATATCTTGGGCTACATTGCCGCCTGTGAGATGCAGGACGTGACGCTAAGCTAGGAGGCGTTCACGCACATGCACTACTTACACTAATAGAATAAACTAAATTGGAAGCGGTTCAAAACCATAATGGGAAGCGGTTTTTGAACCGCTTCCAATTAGGGGGCTTCCCATTGCCAATTGAAATTGGAAGCGGTTTGAACCGCTTCCCATTTGAAGGGAATTGGAAGCGGTTCAATGCCTGAACCGCTTCCAATTATGCCTTTAAATTATAAAAAAAAATATATATATATATCACAAAAAATCAGAAATTGATAAAAAATGAAACATATGTAACAAAATATAAAATTTCATTAATAATTACTTGTAAAATTACATTTTAATTAAAAAAAAAATTAAGGCTACTACACACCACCGAAACCACAGCTTTTCTGCCACCGCAACCACCACCATTCGACCACCACTACCTCAACGGACAACATAAGAAAAAACCTAGTGAATACCACCAAAACCACCGTCATCCTACCACCGCCACCGCAACCACTGCAATTCTGCCACCACCACCGCAACGAACAACCTTTAAAAAAAATTAAATCAAAAAGTTTACTAATTATGCAAATAAATTAAAAAAATTCATTAACACATCAATAAATTTACAAACCCTAACAAAATTTCAACTTAAAAAATGCAAATAAACCATAAATCTAGCCAATTTACAGCAATCTAACATAACCTAATAGTTTAGAAATTCATATAAAAGATGAAATTGGAAAAAAAATAAAATAAATAAATAAATAAATAAACTAGATCTAAATTCTTACTTTAATTATAATTCGATTTGAAAAACGCCTCGTCGGTGTTGTTGGTTCTTCGCCTCGTCGGCGTTGTTGGTGTTGTGTTGTTGTTGCTCGGTGGTGGGGTCGTGGGTCTGCTCGGTGAAAAGGTGATGAAAATGGCGTGAAGAAGATGAAGAGGAGGAGAGAGAAAGAGAATGGAGAGGAGGAAGGAGCGAGAGATGCGTGAAGGAGCTCAGATGAAAGTGAGAAAATGGAAAGGAGGAGAGAGAAAGTATGAGGGGCGTGAGGGAAAATGGAGAGGAGGAGAGAGAAAATATGATGGGCGTGTATTTATATGAAAGAAGCCAGTTTTTTTAGGGAAGCGGTTTGAACCGCTTCCAATTACTTTTTAGAAGCGGTTCAACCCAAACCGCTTCCAATTCTCTTTTGCTTTTTGTTTTTTTTTTGCCGGGTTTTTGTATGGAATTGGAAGCGGATTTCAATAACCGCTTCCAATTAGTGGCTTCCCATTACCTATTTTCTACTAGTGTAATTAAGCCGTGCCCTAGGCGGCTGGAATGTGTGGTACATCTTGACCACGCATCCGGAGTTTATAATGACGCTGGACAAGCCGTCTAAGTGGTCAAGTTGGAAGAGCAAGTTCTGCATGGTTTATTCTCCCACTCTTCAACTTAACCGCCGGTTGCGTTATTATAACAAGCAATCGGCTCTATTAGGAAAAAAATATGCCCTTCCCAAGATACCGGAAGCGGCATGGGATCAGATCATGGAGTCGGGTCTGTTTAAGAAGACAACCATGCCACTGGATGATGGGACACAGATAATTGTCCCCAAACATTGGGTCCCTCATCCGTACTGGCTCAGAGACGAGGCGTTCCTTTCCGCATGTGGTCTGAGCACCATGTTCAGCAAACGTACGTTGAAAGTAAACAACC